CAGGCATCAGGCATCAGGAGTTGGTGTCAGTATGACAAATATTCAGAGCTGCCAGCCTGCTGCAGAATGTGGTGTGTAGGTGACGGCTTCAGCACGGGAAGTTCAGCAGGAGGAACGTTATTAAAGGCTGAGGAAGAGACGGAGAGAGAGAGAGAGAGAGAGAGAGAGAGAGATGGAGAGGAGGATCGTTTACCCTCAGACAGAATATTAACCTCTGAAATACCTTAATGTTCACTTCCTGTCAGTGAGAGCCTGTGACTCTGATTGTATTCAGTCACTTCCTGTGATTTTGTGAATAGTTCAAGTGTAAAAGAAGCATCCAAGATGGATGAGATCTGATGGTTGACGCCACCTCTGGAGGAAGTTTATGTCCAGATGTTGCAAAGGTGTAAATGCGTCAGTGTGACTACGTCAGCAATCACTGTGTAAATATGCACTCAGTTTGATTTAATACGTCCATCGGCCATCTCCTCGTGATCACAGCAAAACTTGACACAAATGTCTAACAGGATAAAATAATGAAGATCAAAAGGTCAAAGGTCAGCTTGACTGTGACATCATCATGTTTGGACTGGTGGGCGGAGTCGTACAACCACAGGGTGGACTGGTGGGCGGAGGTGGTAATTCTAGTTTACAAAACAATCTGTTGAAATAATTGAACTTGGGATTTTGGACATTTTTAATGAGCATGCTTTACTGTTTGTTGTGGCTGCTCTCTGGTGGACAAACCGTCTCTAAATGTCCTCGGACATCTTTTCTGCGCTGACGTTCCTTTGTGTGTGTGATGAGATAAAATCGTCTCTGAACAGTTTTCATGTTGGAGCATGACGGTGTGTTTATCTCTCTGTGTCTTTGTGTTGATGTGAGGGAGGGGAGTCTGCCGTGTTTCCCAGAATGCCTCTGGAGAAGCTGCTCACAACACAAAGTTGTCACCATGATGTTTCAGTGAGGAGCACTCGTGAGCAGAAGCTCCACAGAGAGCAGTGTATTCTTCTGTCTCCATAAAGCTGCACACGCTGCTGCGGCTGAAGGACAGATACAGTAATGAGACAGTGGTGTCTCGGTGTCCTCTGTGATGTCAGAGCTGCAGAGAGCCGAGGGCTCGGTGATGGCAGCCAACTGGTGTTCGTCTACTTTATGAGGCTCATAAGATGATGATGATGCGTTCACTGTCCTCCACTCCTTCAGTGTTCATGTTAACTTCCTCTCTGGAGCCAGGCTGATAAATACTCTGCTCTTCATGAGTTCACTGTGGGAATGTAGACGTGTCGTCCCTCTATGATGCCATGATGGTTTATAAATGGACCTGGTCAGTGTTTAGAAGGAAATGACACTTTAGAGGCAGATTTATGATCTTAGACATCAGTCAGTTTAGGCTAACTAACTTACTGATCATCATCTGAAAAGCTCAACATGTCTCTATTTATGCTCTCAACAAATAACTAATGTGAGCCAACTAGGATTTGTCCCCAGGTTCATTGTAAACTCTGACTTATCCATGTGACTGTTAAGAAGCAGAAACATAACTTGTTTCTTCATGTGCAACATGTTAGTCTGGAGGTTTAAACTGGTGTCCTCTCACAGAGTTGGTGATTCAAACTAAACTTTCATCTCTGTCAGAGAAAACTGATCTGAGTTCAGACTGTTTACTTACAGCACAGCTACACTCACAGATAACTGAGCCTCCTACCTGCCTGTCAAACACCATCAACCCACAAACCTTCTCCAGTCCGGACTGAGTGGAGTCCTGCGGGGTGAAGCTGTGAAGGCTGCGACCGGAGCTAGCTGCTAACTGCTAACAGCCACCGCTGCAACTAACAAACTCCACAAATGCTGAGTGCTGCTGAGTTACAGCTCACAACTCGCACCAACCCAAACATCCTGGTGCAGACTATTTACTGGAGTTTACCAGCCTGTCGCTCATCAGGCATCTGAAGATCATTACAAGCACGGCGGTTCTGCTTTCAACGTCCGATAGTCCACCACTGTTGGGCTCGTTACTCTAAAAATGTAATATATTACTCATTACTGGATACTCTTTTCAAAAGTAATATCATTACTTAACTTACTACTCCCTGCAAACAGTAATTTGTTGAACTCTTTGTTTGATTACTTTCCATTGCACCCCATGAAATTGGTAATTGCGTTTCTCCCCAGAACTGAGATGTGTGTCTCTGTGTGAATGTCAGGGCTCACCGCTAAGTGAAGCTAATGCTGGGCAGCTTCTATTTACCTGGGGGGTGTCTGTTACCTGTGAGTGGTAATTTCTCAAAAGATCTGCCCAAAACATGGAGAATCACTCATGGAGCAACATTTCATCCACCACACATCCAACAACCTTCATCACTTCTCTGTGTCTGCAGCTGTCTGCGATTAAAATCCAGTTTTGGTTGTTTAGCCAGCGCAGAGCTGCAGCCGACCTCTGCAGCCGAGGAGGGCTCACCTTTGGTGGGGTGTATTTCCTGGAGCTTCATGTTGTTGTGTTGTCAGTCGTAGAAGCCGAGGTGTTTCAGATCGGAGGATTGAGGACGTGTTATTTGCCAAAGTTACAAAACCAGTGACGGGAATATTTCCAGCTGCTAAGGTAAAGGCCCTGACACACCAAAGTCGACGGTCGGCCGTCGACAAAAGAAGGGCCATCGGTGAGCGTCTGTCGCCCTAGTTTTTGCAGTGTGTCCTGCACCGTCGGCACTTTGGCGGCGGCGGCTTTTCGGCCGATTGAGCATGTTGAATCGGCGGCGGAGCTTGTCGGTGAGAGAGATCACTCTGATTGGCTGTTCAGGTTTTATTTCCTCGCCCCTGTAGCGAGTGAATCTGCCTGTAGTGAAACCGGGGCTAACCGGTGCTTCCTCCTCAGGCTCCACTTCACTCAGCTGCCCCACAGACCCGCTGCTTCTTCACACTTTAACCTGAATAACAAACTGGAGCTAGCTGGGAGCGGCTAGCGGAGCGTTAGCCGCAGCATGACCGGAGGGAAGCACAGCCAGTTAGCCTCCGCTAGTCTCTGAGCTAGCCCCGGCTCTCCGTTTAGATCCAACCGGAGCACCGAGCCCTGGTTTGTTATTCAGGTTAAAGTGGGAAGAAGCAGCGGGTTTATCGGGCAGCTGAGTGAAGTGGAGCCTGAGGAGGAAACACCGGGACCGTCTGGATGTAATAGTCCGTGGAGGTGCTGCGGTGCTCGGCTGCACAGATAGGAAACCCCTCGGCTGACAGGATGTACCACTCTCTCACTCCGCTCTCTCTCACGCAGGCGCAGAACGTACGTGCTACTTGGCCGTCGGATGTAGTCCGTGTAGAGTGTTCAAATGCAACTGACACAGGGCGACGTGAGGCGACGTAGACGACGCAACAGTTGGCTTTCGTCACTGCTAGTTCTTTGATGTCAGTTTGGTGTGTCTGCACCTTTAGAGTTAACAACCAACTTGCAAAAATGAGTCCGCTGATGTGATTGTTGTGTTTAAAGTCAGTAGTGATGTGATAACAAAAGTAATGTAATTAGTTGTTTGGTTTTGGAGTAACTGTAATATTATGACTGAAATTTAATCAGTAATAAGTTACTTTTTCCAGTAATGAGTAGTGTAATATTATTATTATAACGCCTTAGTGCCCCAAACTGTTCACCACATCAATTGCGTCTTATTTTTTATTTTACAGATCTATTTTTAGCTCGTCATCATCTCGATCTTGTCACAGAGGAAAGGTTTTAATAGTTTTTGTCAACATAATTAACACTGGTGCTCACCACTGATGGGCTCCACAGTCGCTGACGCCGATTCAATATGCTGAACCAGCGGAAGAATGAGCACTGATGAAGACCATGGACGCTCGCCGACAGCGACTGTTGGCCTGGTGTGTCAGGGCCTTAATAAGAAACCAAACTCCGCTCTGCCTTTTTGACACGTCGCGTCTCGGTGCCCCACGTACTGCAGCCATCACTGGAAATTATATTTTAACAGACACTACAGAAGCACTGATGTCGCCTTCCTTCGTGAAACAAAGCCACGTTTTGGATCGTTTCTTTCTCTTAACATGAATCTGTCTGGTTGCAAGTTTCCAGCAGTGTCGACGCAGGAGTTTGACGTCACTGTTTTGCAATGCACAGCTGTCATAACACAAACAAACAAGAAAACAACAACATGCCAAGTTGATAGAAGGACTGGTGAAGCTTTGAGTCGTACGATTCTAAAGGATCAGATGATTCAGAACTGGTTCTCGATTCCCATCTGTAGTTTGAAAGGAGATGATTTTCTAACATTTAAAGTCCAACATTAATCGATTTATTGAGGAAATAACCTGCAGATTTACTGATAATTAAAGTTGTCTTTAAATGCAGCGTCAGTTGTGTGAATATGAAGAAAAGAGCACTTTGAGGAGGAGGAGGAGGAGGAGGAGGAGCGTTCACACCTTCATGGTGACACAGGCAGCAAATGGTGCTGCTGTCCATCTGTTTGTTTTAGCCTCTCTGTGTGTGATTTATTGCTGCCGTGTTTAGTTTGACACTCGACAGATATGTAGTCGTCACAGGTGAGCTGGTGTCAGAGGGTTATGGGTGCGCGTCATCGTGTCTTCACCTCCTCTGAGAAACAGCTGCACAGGTGTGAGCAGCCTGGGAAATAAACCACACGGTGCAGCTGCAGTCCACGCTGCTGGGTTCCCGTGTTGAAGTTCAGTTTCCCAGCAGCCACTGGGGCTCAGTGTGAACGGGCAGAGACCCACATTATTGGGCCTGGATTTATTCTCATTTCTCATTGTTTGTAGAAGAGTAAGTCATTATTCAGAGAGAGTTTCTCGTTATAATGACTCACAGGATCTTGTTCTGTCATCACACTGGCAGTAACGGGCTTCCATACCATAATGAGCAAAGCACCAGTGATGTAACACAAACCCAATTTGCAGTAAATTGCTGAAACCTTGGAAAAAGCAGTCAGGACTCTGAGCGTCTCATCGTCTTGTGAATCTGATGTAATAAAGTTGTGTGTGTCTCTGTTCTCTGGCTGCAGTGTGTCTCAGTCTGGACGTGGAAGTGAGTTGATGTGCGAGGACAACATGTCTTCGCCCCGCTGCTTCCAGCTGCTGCTGTCCTGCATCCTGCTGCTGCTGCTGGTCCAGTTCCCTCAGGCTCGCTCCAGACCGGCCACAGAGGACACGGACACAGGTAGGATACTTCACAGATGTCACCTGTCTACTGAAGACTTCAGTCTGTGGTGGTTTCTCCTGATCGATATCCTTTAATTCTTATGTTTTTTTTTAAATCAAATTAAACTCCAGACATGTGTTTGTGGTCTACGTAGTGTTAAACACAGAACAGCAACTGTTTCAACATGAACAGATAAAACACAGCTGTTGCTTTTTGTTTTGTGTAATCAGAAAGTCCTGAAACAATTAGCTGAATAACTGGTAAATTAACAGTTAAAGAATCTGCAACTGTTTTGGTAATAAAGCAAAAGTGCAAAACTCTTGATTAAATCTCTAACTCTTCTTCTTAAACATGACATTTTATTTCACAGTGTAAATTAAACTGAATTTCTTTTTTTCTTTTTTTTTGCTTAATTAATTTTTTAAAGACATTTGAAGATGTCACTTGATGAGACATGCACTGTGTTGGTGTTTTTGGACAGTGGAGGCAAAACTAAACCTAGTTCTGGTTGCAAATTCTTAGCTGAAATGTGATATATTGCTGAAAACCACCAAGTTTTGGTTACACAAGTGACTGGAAATGCTGCAATGTGTTTCTAAAAACAACTGGTTTTGGCATTTGTACAGTATTCTGAAGCAGATATGTTGAAACTTTGTGTTTCTTTACCTTTTAACAATGCTCTGACTAACATGTGGTGAGGTTGAGACACAAAAACAACTGGTTATGGTTGGGAAAAGATCATGGTTTGGTTTAAAGGTGCAGACACACCAAACCGACATCAAAGAACTAGCGGCAACGAAAGCCAACTGTTGCGTCGTCTACGTCGCCTCACGTCGCCCTGTGTCAGTTGCATTTGAACACACTACACGGACTACATCCGACGGCCAAGTAGCACGTACGTTCTGCGCCTGCGTGAGAGAGAGCGGAGTGAGAGAGTGGTACATCCTGTCAGCCGAGGGGTTTCCTATCTGTGCAGCCGAGCACCGCAGCACCTCCACGGACTATTACATCCAGACGGTCCCGGTGTTTCCTCCTCAGGCTCCACTTCACTCAGCTGCCCGATAAACCCGCTGCTTCTTCCCACTTTAACCTGAATAACAAACCAGGGCTCGGTGCTCCGGTTGGATCCAAACGGAGAGCCGGGGCTAGCTCAGAGACTAGCGGAGGCTAACTGGCTGTGCTTCCCTCCAGTCATGCTGCAGCTAACGCTCCGCTAGCCGCTCCCAGCTAGCTCCGGTTTGTTATTCAGGTTAAAGTGTGAAGAAGCAGCGGGTCTGTGGGGCAGCTGAGTGAAGTGGAGCCTGAGGAGGAAGCACAGGTTAGCCCCGGTTTCACTACAGGCAGATTCACTCGCTACAGGGGCGAGGAAATAAAACCTGAACAGCCAATCAGAGTGATCTCTCTCACCGACAAGCTCCGCTCCCAATTCAACATGCTCAATCGGCCAAAAAGCCGCCAACACCGAAGTGCCGATGGTGCGGGACAGATGCTAGGGTGACAGACGCTCACTGACGGCCCGACTTTGATCGAAGGCCGACCGTCAGCTTGGTGTGTCAGGGCCTTTAAACAACAGCTGCTGGAAATGGTGCGTTCATCAAAAAACAACTATTTCTAGTCCCTCATGTACAACTCAAAATACTATAATGTGTCTCTTAAAAACAAGTTTTGGCAGCAGAATTGCTGCTGGAAATGTTGCAATGTGTTGCTGAAAAATAACCCGTCCTATCATTTGTACATATTTGTACGTCAAACCTTTATGTTTCTTTGCATTTCAGCAACACGATGTGATTCATGTGTGGTTATGTTTAGGCACAAAAATCACTTGGTTAAGGTTGGAAAGATCATGGTGTTGCTTAAAATAACAGCTGCTGGTAGTGCTGTAATGTGTCAGCAAAGAGCACTCAGTTTTGGTGCCAAAGTTGCCTCTTGAAATACTTTCATGTGTCTCTAACAGACAAAGCAAAATTCTGCTGGAAATGCTGATAAACTACCAGGTTTGGTGACACTAATGCAGCTTAGAATGTTGTGATGTGTCACTAATAACCAACCAGATTCGATGACACAAATGTTTCTGGAAATGCACAATGTGGTGCTAAAAAGCACACAGTTTCAGTGCCATAGTTGCCTCTGGATATGCTGTAATGTGTCTCTAAATCACAACCATTTTAGCAGCACATTTGCTGCTGGAAATGCTGCTGTGTGTCACTGATAAACTACCGTATTTGGTGACACAAATGCAGCAGGAAGTGCTGGCATGCTTTGCTAATAAACAACCAGATTGGGTGATGTAAATGCACAATGTGGTGCTAAAAAGCTCTCAGTATTGGTGACACAGTTGCCTCTGGAAAAACCTCAGTGTGTCTTCAGAACTACCAGATTTGGTGCCACGGTTGCTGCTCGAAATGCTGCAACGTGTCGCTGAAAAACAACTGGTTGTGTTGTGTCTTGAGCAGTGAGCATGGCAGCCGCTTCACTGTGGTGAAACTCAGCTCATACAGCCTGACGTTAATGCATATTAACATACAGGTCTAACGTGTCTGTTTGCAGAAATGTACAATGCAACGTTTTCCTCTGACGACTGGGCTGTGAATTCCCAGTTACTGCTGCTGGTGTTTTGCAGCCTGTTTCCACTTGGTGTGTGTTGTTTGCTCGTCTCTTTTGTTTGAGAACTCTTTCATGAGTCTGTTCCCAGCCGCGGTCTGCGTGTTTAAAACTGTATTAAATATAAAAGCTTATAAAAGTTTCCAGTGAGAGAATTTCTTTAATAAGAAAGTGACTTTTCTTAAAGCTTTGGCTGTTTTTGGCTTCGAAGCATCTGAAACTGGTTAGAGTGATTTTTCATGGTGTAACCGAGGCTTGGCTCTCAGGGTGCTGGTTATGGTCTGTGTATCCTGTCCAGACACAGTAACACAGGAACAGATGCACACAGTCTGCAGCGTTACACACAGACACAAAACATGCCAGTGTTTGTCTGTGTGTGCATTTGCATGTATATACCTTCAGTGTGTGTGTTTGTGTCTTCTCGTCCAACCATCTGGACCCCAGCTGACTGCCAGTCTATGTGATACTGTTGTTTTTAAGCTCGTCGTAAACTCTTGTTTTTCTCTGCGTGGAGAGCACATCAAATTTAGCCTCTCTGCTGCGTCTCCTATCATAAACAAAGCCTGCTTTCAATTTCCCACCTCGCCCGGTTGTATTCTCCCAAATGAAGGTTTAGTGTTTGGAAACCACTTCCCTCCACTTCCCTCCTCTCCCCTCCTCTCTGTCTCTGCTCTCTGAGAGTGAAATATTCCTGTAAGTGCCGTGAACTCTCCTCGAGCCCTGTAAAAAAAGCCTCCCTGAAGCCCAGCCCTGTCTAACCAGGAACGCTGCTCTTTTTATAAACTCTTTGATGTGTTTCACAGAAGCTGCACATTTACCATAATCTATATTTTCAGCACCACAACACAGGGTTTCACAGAGATTCCCAGCTTCACACACGTGTCTGAGTGGGTTGTTTTCTGCAGCCGGGGCTTCTCCCGTCCACCTTCAACAGAAACACAGAAGTATCATGGATATAAGTTCTGCATTATTATTATTTTTTACGCCAAAGGGAGAGCAGGAGAACGTCTTTTATTTTCTTCCTCACTCCAGAGTTATATTTTTTACAGATTAATTGTTTTAAAAAAGGATGACATGAGCACAAATGATGGCTCGTATGCAGACAACAGTCCCGTCTTATCTTCCAGTCACTCTCTAATAGGATCAATATGTCGGGTGGAGAAACAAAACGCTGACAGGCGAACACACGAAAGGATTGTGCAGCTTTTTCGGCTGCTAGACCTGCACAAAGAAGGCAAAAAGAAAATGTGTAATTCTTTTGCCTTTTATTTGATGGGACAGATATCACGTGAAAAGGCAGATTTATACTTGTGTGTCAGCTCTACGCAGAGCCTACGCCGCTGTGAGCATTTATACTTGTGTGGTGGTGTGTCTGTGTCACTCTGCAGTTACACCTCCAAAACACTAGCTGGCAGCAGAGTTTCTGTGAAGTGCTGTAAAGTTAAGTTGATTCAAAATACACATTAAACACACATTAAACATGGCTTAATAGAGACAGTTTCAAACACAAATCAGCTTCACTATAACTCGCAGCATTCACAGACAAACACTTGTCTTTATCTGGACACGTTTTCCCCACAAATACAACATGCTAACGTTATTAGCACAAGCCTATGGCATTTTACATTGTATAAATTAGCCTAGCAGCTAGCAGACTTTTCCTCTGCTCATATGAAACCAGGGACAAAAGCAAAATTTAACAAAGGTAACGTTACAAAATTCAGCTCCATTACAACTCACAAGGTTCACTGACAAAACAACTGTCTTATACTAAACACACTTTCCAAACAAATGCAACATGCTAACGTTATTAGCACAAGTCTATGGCATTTTACATTGTATAAATTAGCCTAGCAGCTAGCAGAGATTTCCTCTGCTCATATGAAGCCAGGATAAATCACACACACGACTTAATGCTATTAAGTCAAGCATCCACTAAAATGCTATTTTTGTGGAGGCTTTATTGTCTTCACAATTTATTGTTTCTTATCTGTGAAATTAAAGTAAATGATATTTTTGTTGTGCGGCGGCGTGAGAGAAAAATATTTTCTTCACAAATTCAACACAACACAGTGTGTGTAACTGATAACTGTAACTGGGTGAATTATTCCTTTAACTGATAATGTAAATAATGATTAATTTCAGCCACAGTTTGCCATAAATTTGAGTCATTTCATTTATGAATGTGAGCCAGCAGCTGTTGTTGGCACATTTTCACTGTGTGTGTTGATGAAAATTGTTTATGCTTCAACTCTTTTGGTTTTTAATGATGAAACAAGTTTGACCAGTTTAACTTCTTACTTTAAGATAACAGGAGGGAAGGGTTGTAGTGTTTCTTAAAGTCAAAGAGGTCAAAGGAAATTTTAGTAACCCCCCCGGTCTCCATTAACTGTGGTACAGTCTGTCAGCAGTGGTGTGTGTGTGTGTGTGTGTGTGTGTGTGTGTGTGGCTGTTAATGGCCGGGGGGGAGAGGGAGGAGGTCTCTGAAGTTCAGGAAGTGGTCGGGCGCAGCACTGAGCTGTGGCGACAGCTCCTGTCTGCCCGCCTGTGCAGGAACAGGAAGGCTTAGAGCCTCGTTCAGTGAGCTAGGGTCAGAGGTCAGAGGTCAGAGGTTAATCCACTAACTGCTTTCATTGTCTGTCAGAGGGAACATCTGAGACTCCCAGAGAGCAGCCTTAAAATCTGCACCAACACGCCGACAGTTTCTGAACAGCTTTTAAACTTGTTTTGCAGGCGACGCGGTAAAATCCTCTGAAGACGAAGAAGACGATGAGTCATCCTCAGAGGAAAACAAACTGTCCAACGAGCTGTCAACAAGCAACGAGAAGCTCCAAAGTAAGCCTCAAACTCTTCTCTGTTGCTTTGTTTTTTGTTTTTTTTTAAAATCAGTGCAGATGATTGTGATGTTTGTGTCTCAGTGTCGGCGCTGGCGCCACAGTGGGTGATGCCGGACAAGATGGAGAAGCAGCTCCACGCCGTCCCCGCCAGCAAGACCGTGAAGTTCAGGTGCCAGGCGACCGGAAACCCCGTCCCCACTCTGCGCTGGTACAAGAACGGGAAAGAGTTCAGGAAGGACCAAAGAATCGGAGGCTTCAAGGTGACGGAGAGAAAACGTCAGAACTCCGACTGGTTGTTTTAATGAGTTTATTTTATTTATTCACTGATGTGTCGTCCATCTTTCAGATCAGAGACCACATGTGGACTCTCATAATGGAGTCAGTGGTTCCATCTGATAAAGGGAACTACACCTGTGTGGTGGAGAACGAATACGGGAGTCTCAAACACACCTACCTACTGGATGTAGTCGGTAAGAGAACCTGCGTCTGTGCGTCCACATCAGCGTCTCCAGGTTGTTTTTAATAAAGATCTCCGTCCACTCTGAACGACAGGAAATGTCTCGAGTTTAACGCAGCTGAGTTCACAGTTTTGTTGTCCTTGTGTGAGACGTGTTGCTGGTTCACCTCTAACGTTCTCTGATCTCTGGTCTGCTGCAGAGCGCTCCCCTCACAGACCCATCCTGCAGGCCGGGCTGCCCGCCAACCAAACCGCAGTCGTCGGTCATGACGTGGAGTTTGTGTGTCGAGTGTTCAGCGACCCGCAGCCTCACATCCAGTGGCTCAAACACATCACTGTCAAAGGCAGCAGAGAGGCGCCAGACGGACACCCGTACGTCCTCGTTCTCAAGGTTTGTGTGCACGATACGCAGCTGCACCACAAGTGCTCAGATTCACACAGTGTTGTAGACTCGATCACACAGAAAGTGTTTTGCAAGTTGGGAAACACGAGGCACACCACGCTGCCTTTTTTTAAATAAACTGAATGCCACTGTGCCTTTTTATTGTTGCCAGGCAACCACAGACTCACCTTCTCACTTTAACCTTCCTGTGTATCAACCATTTATTTATTGTATGTATCCTGCAGTAATGAATGTGTAGCTGCTGCCATGTTGAGGCAGAGGGTGCTGTCTGTAGCTCTGGTTGAGGGTGAGAGGCTGTCAGCAGATAAACAGAGATCTGTGTGGGTACATGAGACCCTAAAAAAGAGGCTGGATCATGGGGAGTACCACCAGTTGGTCCAGGAGCTTCTCCTCCATCATGGACGTTTGATGGCGCTGCTAATGTTGGTGTAAATGGGTATGAAGCTGTTTTTATGGTGATACCGCAGCAGTTTTTAAATTTGGCACAAACATCCACTTGGACTGAGTAATAATCTGAATTCAATCATCTTGAGAGAAAAGAATATTTATTTACATGTGTCCATGAGTAGGAGAAATGTGTGAAGTCTCTGGTGGATTAGGGAACCTTGATAGTCGAAGGTCAAAGTTCAGTGTGACCTCACAAAATGTGTTTTTGGCCATAACTCAGGAATTCTTACACTAATTATAACCAAGTTTAACACAAAAGGAAGCCACTGTGACATCATCATGTTTTAACGTCATATCTCAGGAACAGAAGAGGAGACATTTGGTCAGATACTGAATTGGTGACTCTAATCTTGAAACTGTGCTGATTGTATAGATCTTCTGTGTGTGAAGCATCCATGTTTTCACTGACATGGATGGAGACTGTCAGAGAAACCTGAACAGTTTGTGGAGGAGTTCAACCACAAAGCGGTAATTCTAGTATTTTGTTCCAGCTTGTGATGCTGCAGCGACTTCCTGTTGATTGAGTTTGATTGGACATTTGCACTTCACAAAGTCTGAACTCGATATTCCTTCAGTTTAAATGGTTGGAAAAGACGTGCGTCTCTATGCTGGGCCTGTGATTTGAAAAAGCAGCATTTAAATCTGGTCCTAAGGGAGAGCACGATGGAAACAACACCAGGTTTGTTATTTGAATTTAATTGTTGGGACCTCAGAGGTTTTTTCCTCTGTGTGTATAAAACTGTGCGGCAGCAGCGTGTCAGGATGACTACATGTACGAGCTCTGCTGTGATTCATGACCATAAAGTGACGTGTGTTTGTTACCTTCACTCGTGGTGATCCAGTCGGTCTTTATGCTGCGTGACGCTGAGTACATGTCTGTGTGACACAGCAGAGTGAAACCACATCTGTGATGTGCTGTGGACTCCTGTGGTGAACACGTAACCAGCAGCTCTGCACAGATTATTATTATGTTCCTTTTACAGGCACAAGAAAGGCTGAAGACAATGAAAAGAGCAGGTTTAAAACCAGGTTATTTACTGAAACATGTCAGGAGCATCAGTCAGAGAGAGAGAGCTCAGCTATCCCCAGAGAAATCGCTCAGTCAGGGTCCTGTAGGGATGCACAATGGCAGCAGGAAAAGAACGTTGGATGTTGTCAGAGGATCATGTAGACATGTGTCTGCCTGCTCAGGCCAACTATACAAACTTTTTATTTTATGCACAGCTGCTCAACATGGACACTTTGATTAATCATCTTCCTAATCTCCAAACATCAGACATAAAGGTGTCCTGTGGAGTTTTCTTGTAAACAAGTAAAAGTTTTGTTTTACAGTCGTGTTGAATGAATTTCCTTCTCCAGAAAACATTTGCAGAGCAGAGTTTTACGAGTGTTTTAAATCCTGCATTGTTTACATCCATGTTTACCAGGCCTGCAGGAAGTGCGTCCGACTTTGACGCCAGTTTTCACAGAGGTCAAACAGTGGAAATGTGTCCGTCATATGACGCCCTGTGGCCCAGAAAGGTTTGGCAAAAGACACGTTTGTAAATCATCCGAGGCCTGGTCTCGGGGGCAGCGGGCTGAGCAAAGCACCCCAGACGTCCCTCTCCCTTAGCGACGCTTCCCAGCTCCTCCTGGAGGACCCCGAGGTGTTCCCAGACCAGATGAGATATATAATCCCTCCAGTGTGTTCTGGGTCTGCCCCGGGGCCTCCTACCGGTGGGACGTGCCCAGAACACCTCTAACAGGAGGCACCCAGGAGGATCCTGATCAGATGCTGAACCACCTCAACATGAAGGAGCAGCGGCTCTACTCCGAGCTCCCTCCAGATGTCTGACTCCTCCCCCTATCTCTAAGGCTGAGCCCAGACACCCTACAGAGGAAACTCATTTCAGCCGCTTGTATCTGTGATCTCGATTCTTTTGGTCACTACCCAGAGCTCATGACCATAGGTGAGGGTTGGGACGTATCCCGCCTCTCATTGGCTGATGCTCTTTGTCAGTCGTGTCTCCAGTTTTCTAGCATGCCAGATATCCAGTCCCAGTCACAGACGAGGGGGCGACTTGCTCGTAGGCTTGTTCACACATGAGGACTCGTCGTGGCAGACTATCTGCCGACTCACCTCCGACCCAAGGTGGCTCTCAAGATCCTCTGCGACGTCAAAATTGCGGTGAAAATCGTGTAATGTGAACTAGGCTTAATGTCCACTAGGGGCTGGCTCCAAGAGCGAGTCAGTCCCCACAGACCACTGGTCCCAACTGGTCCATTCATGGGGTCCAGATTTCTCCTCAGTCATCAGTTCAAGGTCCACACAGTTGAATATATTCGGCATCATACATGCGTTTGGCCGTGCCACTGAGTTAGATTGCTGTCTCTGTCAAGTTGCTGTGTGTCAGTCACTCACTCTACAGCAGGAAACAGCCCTACAAAATAAAAGCTCTGTGCAAAGTGTGTTTTTTACACACTTGATCGCGAGTCAGTTGTGGTCCATTTTCACAAATCCCCAGTGTTCACTAGCTTGCAATCTTCTTCTTCGTTGCCTTTATAGTTTGTTACTGCCCTTCTTTGTTACCGCCACCAACTGTCAGTCAGTGGATCAGTGAAAAACTGACGACAGGAATGTGAATCGTTCCGTTTTCATGCTCAAAAACACACAGCACCAGGGCTACAATTATTATCTTTTATTATCGATTAATCTGCCCGTTATTTTCTCCATCAGTCGTTATGTCAATCAAATGTTAAGGTGCTGTCTTCAAATGATGTTTTATCTGACCAGCAGTCCAAAAATCCAATTTATTTAGATACATTAAATGAGTCTGGTGATATTTTATTTGTCTTCTTGTCAACGAATGCTGTGAAACAACTGTGTTTATTAACCATGACACACACACACTGACACACACCGTCCTGCTGACACAAATCTTACTATATAATGATGAAAACTCTGTGTGTGTGTGTGTGTGTGTGTGTGTGTGTGTTCCATGTTTTTCTCCTCACTGACTTGGTCAATCCATGTGAAATTTGGCACAGTGGTAGAGGGTCATGGGAGGATGCCAATGAAGCAATATTACATCAATTGGCCAAAGGGGGGCGCTATAGCAACCCATTGAAATGTCAAACTTTGAATGGGCATATCTCATGCCCCGTATGTGGTAGAGACATGAAACTTTGCACAGAGATGCCTCTCCTCATGAGGAACACATTTGCCTCAAGAACCCATAACTTCCGCTTATATAGATTTTCCGCCATTTTGAATTTTTTGAAAAACACTTCAAATGGATCTCTTCCTAGGAAGTTTGAGCGATCTGCATGAAACTGGGTGAACATAATCTAGGGACCAATATCTAAAGTTCCCTCTTGGCAAAAGTTGGAAAACTTACTAAAACTGAGCTTCTATAAGGCAATGAATATTGCGGAGGGCGTGGCTCATCACATAAAGGTGTATAACATCTCAAGGGTTTCACCCATCACCACGCAACTTTGTAGGCATATGACCACACATAATCTGAGGGGACCCCTCCATTATTGACCCCATCAAACAAAATGGGGGCGCTAGAGAGCTCATTTCTTATCTAGGCCTAACCGCCATATGGATTTTTACTAAACTTGGTAGATATGTAGAACAGGACGCCTCAAGGTGACTGGAGAAATTTAACTCTAATTGGCAACTGGGTGGCGCTATAACAACAGAAAAATGCTTCAAAATGGCTAAAATGCGACCGATCGCTGTGGCTCCCCCTGTGGACCAATGTTGGTGTTGTTTTCTAATGTTTGGTATGACTAAGTCATGGTATGGTATGCTGTACATAATCACGGAAACTGTCAGTGTGTCATTCTGTCAGTCAGTCATTCTGTCTGTCCCACGTTTTTCTACTCACTGACGTGGTCAATCTATGTGAAACTGCACATAGGCATTGAGGACTGGCATAGGTAGAAGGTGACAAAGCTACCAATGGCTATGGAGTAGTACTCTCTAAATTTGGATTATTCCGCTGCTGAAAATAGTCCCCAACAAAGTCACCTTTTCCTCCAGTCTTAGTTATGAATCAGTAAACATGTGTACTGCTGTTTTTTAAAGATTTAGTTCTCAGTATGAACCGACATCTCATTCTTATCTCACATCACATCTCTGTCTCTCCTCCAGACGGCAGGTTTAAACACCACAGATAAAGAAATGGAGGTTTTGACTCTGAGGAACGTGACTCTGAACGACGCAGGAGAGTACACCTGCCTGGCGGGAAACTCCATCGGCGTCTCTCATCACTCTGCGTGGCTCACTGTCGTCGATGGTACGTCACAAAGCCTCGTGCAGTTCATCCTGCAGAAATGATCCACCGTGCTGATCTGATATTTGTGCTGTGTCATCTCAGACCTGCCGCCTGCCCCGCTGCCCTCTCAGACGTACCTGGAGATCTTCATCTACTGCCTGGGGTTTTTCATCATCGTCATCCTCACAGCCATGGCGGTCATCTGCAGACTCTGCTGCGCCCCGAAGAAGAGCGACTTCAACGGCCAGTTAGCCGTCCAGAAACTGGCAAAGAGCATTCCTCTGAGGAGACAGGTGACACGTCTCTCTTTTTGTCATTTCCTGTTTAGTCTCTGAACTTCCTGTTGCTGCCTATGTTAAATACAAGTTTGGTTCACAGTCTGCAGTGCATTCATACAGTTTTTTAACAATGTTCTGGTGTCAATATATTTAGAAAGGTTTTAAAAAATTGATTTTTCATCTGAAGTTTTCTCTGAGGTTTGTAAGAGTGTCACATTTTTTATTCATGGTTTGCTGGATGTAAGACAGTTGTTTTGTCGGTGAGCCTTGTGAGTTGTAACGGAGCCGAATTTTGTAACGTTACCTTTGTTAGTCTCTGCATCGAGCCAAAGTACATCTGTAAATCAGCCTTAATGGATCAGGATCAGCCCTTGGTCAGGGGATAGGACCTGAACATATTTCATTATGGATACTGATCAAGCGGGGCCTCTTCCATGGAGCCCGCCATATTTCTACAGTAACCGAGAACAGACAAACCCAACGCTGGCTGTAGATAGGGCTGTTTGCGTTGTTATGTTACCTGAAGGCCACTGTAGGTTCTCCTTCATGCTCGGAAAGGCAGCGGCAATAGTTGCAATCTGCAGCCTCACCGCCAGACGCCATTAAACCTTTAACCTTTGTTCCTTTAAAAGACGAAAAACAGGGAAAGATTTTTCTTGTTGTTGCCATCTCAAAGATCTCTGTTTCATTCTCTTTGGCGGCACCTGTAGTGATAAGCGGTAACTACAGGTGTGTGTTTGAATCTGACTTCCCAGAGATCCAAACTGTCGCCTGTGTGACGTCTGTAGTCATCGCTCCTGTCTTTGTTCGTAACCGTTTGCTTCTGATGCTTAGCTCTGCCAACCCTCATCGGTGGACCAACCACTGATGAGTGATGGGAAACGTGTCACTAACTGTGCGCCACTTGTGATTTTTACTGGGAATGTCGCCACAGACCAGTTTTTTAACCTGCAGGTGTAAAGGGCTTTACCACCCTGTTACCTCGCTCAGCAACAGTTGGCATCATAACAGATGAGAGATTATTTATTCATCAGTTATTTGTCCAGGACACTTTATGGTCATATAATCCAGAGACTCTGACGGCGTCTGTCCTCCCTCTGCAGGTGTCCGTTGAGTCCTCGTCCTCCCTCCAGTCGGGGATGTGTTTGATGCGTCAGTCTCGTCTCTCCAGTGCAGCCACCACCATCCTGACGGGCGTGTCAGAGTACGAACTTCCCTACGATCCCGTCTGGGAGCTTCCCCGTGACAGGTATGACCGCTTGCGGCGACCCGTCTCGCTGCTTCTCACTCGTTGTACGTCCTCCACAACTCTCCAGGAGCTGATTATTAAAAGATTTAACAGTTCCTCACTGTGGCCTGTCGGTGGTCCAACCTTCACTGAACGCTTCACCCTTCATTATTTCCCTGTTAAATCGTTTTCTTTCTTGTTTTTGAGAGCTGACTTTTTGCAGCATACTGCTCTGATGTGTTTAACTACATACAGAATGTCATTTAAGAATCATTCTCCTGTACAGGTGTGAGTATGTTGCACATGTCAGTCTTATATTCCCCTGAAAGCATCAATAAAATAAAGCTGCAGATGTTTCATTTGTGCTCCGTCAAGTCTTGTAAAGCACTTTGGATTACCTGCATCTGATGATCTGTAGCTTACCTGTATCTCAAGTGAATCAAGCACGTTGTACAGTGACGTGTTGTGTGTCGTCCTCAGGCTGACGCTGGGGAAACCTCTGGGCGAGGGATGTTTCGGTCAGGTTGTTCTGGCCGAGGCTGTTGGCATCGACAGAAATAAACCGACGCGCCTCACGAAGGTGGCGGTGAAGATGCTGAAAGGTGAGAGCTGCTTTCTGAACTGGATGACTTCTTTCTGCAACAACAACAAATAGAGTAGAATGGTAGCCAGCTGGTTTCAGCACATGCCAAATAACTGCAACATCCCAGGTTTGAATCTGACCTTGCAACCTTTTATGAATGTCAAAACCCTCTGTCTGTGTCCCACATTTCTACACTGCCCCGTCAAATAAAGGTAAAAAAAAAGTCCCCCAAAAAGAAACATCAATCAAATTTCTCTGACAGTTTCCATCCATGTCTGATGAGATGTTGGTGGTAAAAGGTCAAGGTCATTGTGACCTTACGTCTGTCCCATTCTTGGAAATGTTGTATCTTAATAAGGCCTTAAATTAAGTCCTTAAATTAAACACAAACATCTACTTGGAGTCAACAATAAACTGATAAGATATTGGTAGTTGTAGGTCAAAGGTCAAGGTCACTGTAACCCTCGTCTGTCCACTTCTTGTAAACGTGATATCTCAAGAATGCCTTGGAGGATTTCTTTTCAAATTTGGAACAAACGTCCACTTGGATGCAAGAATGAACTGATGACAGTCTGATGGTTAAAGGTCACTGTGTCCTCACAAAATATGTTTTTGGTCATAAATCAAGAACTCACAGAATTAGACCAGAAAGTAGTAGTAGCCAAGATTTCATTGGTAGCACAGTCGCAGAAAAAACAAACAAACATGAAACTCTATCAGGAGCTGCACCTTGTCTAAATAAATCCAAACCTATATGACTGGAGCATGTGTGACTTTACTTTGAAAGGACAGACACAGGAAGTGTCCTCGTCAGGTTAATATCCAGGGCTGGTACCTGCGGTTATTCCACAGGCTAGTTAATAACATGTCGGGCAGGAAATCCAAAGTGTGGGATCATTTTGAGAAGGTGAAGGACGAACCCAAGGTGATATGTAAACTCATCTTCATTGGTCGACTACAAACATGACGTATCATATGAAACATGGAAGTAGCTACATGCCCATTAGCCCACAGCGTCATTAACAGGCGGCTCGCTCAGTGTGTGACGTGCACTTGGAGATAAAATATAGGCCTATATTAATGAAGGTTCATTAGTGTATGTGTGAAGTATCCATGGTTTTACAGACAAGTGCAACTTGTCTGGTTTGCAGAGGCCTGCAACCAACAGATGGTTACTCTGGTTACGCAAACATTTTTCCAGTAGTTCATTAATCTGAGTTTGTCTTTATCAAGTTGTGACTGGTTATTGACCTACATCCTAAAACTTTATCCGACTTCTCACTTTCACCCTTTGCCTTATCCTGATTCATATTAAAATTAAAATGATCCGAACTCTAACATGAAGCTGACGTCATGTTGTTGTTGTAGTGTGCAGCGGACGCCACAGAGAAGGATCTGTCTGACCTGATCTCTGAGATGGAAATGATGAAGATGATCGGCAAACACAAGAACATCATCAACCTGCTGGGAGCGTGCACTCAGGACGGTGAGTGGGTTTGTTCCGTGTGACGCCCGTCAGTGGTGATGTGTGTCGTACACATGTTAACACCTCCCCCTCCTCCGACAGGCCCTCTGTATGTGGTGGTGGAGTACGCCTCGCAGGGGAATCTGAGGGAGTATCTCCGTGCCCGTCGCCCGGTCGGGTTGGAGTACTGGAGCGGGTCGAGGCAGGCGTCTCTGGGCAGTTTGGAGATCAGGGAGCTGGTTTCTGCTGCGTACCAGGTGGCCAGAGGAATGGCGTACCTCGCCTCAAAGAAGGTCAGATTTACAGGCTAAAGATCTTATTGGATGCATGAGTTAAGTCCTGTGGCAGGAGTGACTGTAACAGAGAATAATGTCATTCTTTAACCATGAAAAATCATAATTAAGGCTTCTAAACACAACCAGACATGTTCCAGCAGGAATACGATCCGAAATCAGGGAGAAATTCACAACACTGATGACCATGAGTACATGTTTCCTTGACGTTAGCATGTAGCTACAAGTAGCAGTGTACTTGCAGCTGGGAATTACCATATGTAGTAGCCCTGTTCCCCACTAAAAATCACCAATAAAAGCTTACACAACCATTCATGCTCCAGCAAGAAAATGATCCACAATCGAGGAGAAATTAACATCAGCAGCCAATATTATATGTTTCTGTGACATTAGCCGTGTAGCTACATGTAACAGTGTACTTGTATTTGTACTTGTACTTTGTACTGTGGTGAACCCTGCCGTCTCCTCTCAGTGTATCCACAGAGACCTGGCAGCCAGGAACGTGTTGGTCACTGAAGATAACGTGATGAAGATCGCAGACTTCGGTCTGGCCCGAGACGTCCACCACATCGACTACTACAAGAAGACCACTAACGTGAGGCTCCGTTAACAGACTGAATATGAGTATCAGGGTGACGTGATGAGACGTGTTCTTACTGATGTGTTAATGATCCTGCAGGGTCGTCTGCCGGTGAAGTGGATGGCACCAGAAGCTTTATTCGACCGCATCTACACACACCAAAGTGACGTGTGAGTTTAAACTTCAGAGACCTGATGTTGATGTTTTGTTGTTTTTCTTTCAGGCTGAATTTCATACGAAAATGCAACAATTTTATTATAATTTTATTTTCTCATGTTTGTTTTTATACTTACACTGGCGATTGCTGGAGACGTTGTGTTCTTTGTCTGTCAGTCCGTCCGTCACATTCCTGGAACGTGATATCTCATGAATGCCTCTAGGGAGGTTTTTTTTTCAAGTTTGGCACAAACGTCCACTTGGACTCAAGAATGAACTGATTAGATGTTGGCTGGTCAAAGGTCAAGGTCTTTGTGACCTTGCATCCATCTTATGTTCGTTAACGCGCTATCTCACGAATGCCTGGGGAAGTTTTTTGTAATTTGGCACAAACGTCCACTTGGAAACAAGAATAAACTGTTTAGATTTTGGCTGGTCAAATATCAAGGTCTTTGTGACCTTGCATCCATCTCATTCTTGTAAATGTGACATCTCAAGAACACAGCGAGGGTATTTCTCCAAATTTGGCACAAACAACCACTTTCGAGCCAAGATGAACTGATGAGATTTTGGTTATAAAAGGTCAGGATCACTGTGACCTCACATGCATCTCATTCTCGTGAATGCGATGTCTCACAAATACCTTGGGGGAGTTTCTTCAAATATGGCACAAACGTCCACTTGGACTCAAGGATGAACTGGTTAGATTTCAGTGGTTGGAGGTCAAGGTCACTGTGACAGCGCTAATAAGGTATTAAATGTGGCAGCTACATGAGGTCGGCCATGTTGACAGGTCTCTGTGATGCTTCCTCTGCTGCAGGTGGTCGTTTGGAGTCCTGCTGTGGGAGATCTTCACCCTCGGGGGGTCTCCGTACCCCGGCGTCCCTGTGGAGGAGCTCTTCAAGCTGCTGAAGGAGGGACACCGCATGGAGAAACCTTCAGCGTGCACTCAGGAGCTGTGAGTTAAATCCCAAATCTGTGTTCAGGCTCCAAATGACATCGACTTAAAAACAGCTTGTGTTTGTCTAAACGTTGGTTTTCTGTTTTATCAGGTACCTGATGATGAGAGACTGCTGGCACGCCGTCCCGTCCCGCAGACCGACTTTCCAACAGCTGGTAGAAGATTTAGACCGCACACTTTCTCTCATGGCAAACCAGGTAACGTGTTTATCTGTCAGTAAAATATAAACAAATATTCATTATTAATCAGCCTTATTTTTTCTCATGGATACATCATCCTCACATCTGATCATCTGTTCAGACTGTCGGCAACATCTTATACCATAGAAATAAATTCAGAGTTTGGCACATTCAAGCACAGTGGGATATCGCATCGTCGTCCGCAGAGAGCTCAGCTTGTTTTCAGCACTTACACTCAAACCAGCTCTTTAACTTCTGTCACGGCCTCCACATTAATTAACTCTTAACATTAAACTTAACATTTCACATGCAGAAATTTGAACAGACATTTGAATCTGTTTATTTGCACCCGAGAACGCTTCAGAGTAACTTTCCACTAAATCCTGTATTTAGAGTTTCAGTTGCACTTGGGACAATAAACCATAATAAACCATATAAAACTGAACATTATCTTTGTAAAGGCAGAATTTATGGTTGAGCTGTTTGGATTGGATCACATAAGATGTTCCTAATAACGTAGCAACTGCGTGCATGTCCGAGGTTCCTTTAATTTGCAGCCATTGCAGTCCCAAAATATTTTAATCCTAGTTCAACCGTGTATCTATGATCTAACCCTCTGCTGGTGTCTCTGCAGGAGTACCTGGACCTGGCCCTTCCTCTGGTCCAGTACTCTCCGGTCATCACGTCTTATTCCTGTAACTCCACATAGGGAGTTCTGGGATCTTTTCCCTTCCTGGATCACCTTCATCCTGTTTCCTCTGCTGCGCGGGCTGGCGGTGATGGTGGCGGCGGCGGCAGCGGTCCCAGACGAGGCCCGGACGGAGGAGCTCAGACAAAGCCGCTTCGCTGTCGTCTATCAGCAGCAGCAGCCTGATGTGAAGAACAGCTGGACTGAGCCGGACTCCCCAGCAGGGCCTCAGGAAGCAGCGTCTCGTTCATACAGCGGGCAGAGACTGAGGGGAGAGCTGCTCCTGAGCTGCCCATTGCATCAGTGCTCTGGTTATATTAATAATCATCATGTTCTCAGTGTAAATACTGTAAATAATAGTTTGTGTTATATGGAAGTACAAACTGGAATTATCAGAGAAATATGAACTGAAAGGGAAAATAAATAAAGGGAGAAATACAAACAAAAAAATAACTGAATGAATAAAAAACAAAATGTGTAAATCTATAAATGTGTAAAAGAAAAAAATAAATCTAATTTGACTTTTTATTTGTCCACCGTCCGCCTCCCTAACCCACATGGAAACACTTTACTACTCATTTATAGATTTTCTTTGTGCATCTTTTATTCATTAATTTATTTTGCCCCAGTATTTATGTTTGTCTCCGCAGTGACGTCGTGTTGCCAAAGATGATGTCTGCCAGTGTTACACTTCAGCGTTGCACTTAACCTCCAGCTGATCGCAGCCTGACATGTACAGAGAACGCTTCTAGTTGAATGTGTAAAATAACTGATTAACAACAGTATTAAAATCATTTCTGAATTCATTCTCACGTTGAGACATTGTCGTGATTTCGACGACCATCTGTCCCGTTCTCCTGAACAAGATATCTCAAGAACAGCTCAAGAGAATTTGTCAAGTTTGGCACAAACGTCCACTTTAAGTCAAGGATGAACTGATTAAAATTTGGTGTTCAAATGTCAAGGTCACTGTGACCTTGCATCCATCTCAGTCTTATGACTATGATATCTCAAGAACATGGCAAGGGTTTTTCTCCAAACACAAACAAACATCTTGGACTCAGCGATGAACTGATTAATATTTGGTGGTCAAAGGTCACTGTGACCTCAACTGTCTTATTCTTGTGAACACAATATCTTGAGGGGGTTTCTTTAAATTTGGCACAAACGTCTTCTTGGACTGGACGATGCACTGATTAGATTCTGGTGATAAAAGGTCAAAGTTACTGAGACTTGGTGTTCATCTCATTTGCGAGAACACGATGTCTCAAGTACACCTTGACGCAATATGTTTCAGTGAATGAATGTATAAATAATTTAATTTCAGTTCGAACATCTGGAGACACAAATTTTCTCACAGTCAGTAACTGAAAAAGGACGAGGCCCAGGGTTATGTTTACCTGTCCTGTATCAACCAAAGGAAAACCCGGAATATCAACAACACCAAACAAAGGAAATAAATAAATTAATAATTAAATAGATTATACTCTAAATTATAATCCACAATTCTTACATTTTTATCATTTTACATTATATTCCATAATCATTTTGCATTTTAAGGCTTTTTTAAAACTCAACAGAGAGCAACACTAACTGCGCTTCCATCCAAATGTATCGCAAATCTTAAGCGAATTTTGTGAAAATGCAAATTTATGCATGTTTCCATTCATTATTGTTTTGCGAGTACTGGGAGTCAACAGGTTGAGCAGTAGGTGGCGCTTCTCCTGAAAAATAAAAAATGCGAAAGAGCACCCGTAGAAGAAGAGGGCGCCGTGAGATGACGTCATTGAGAGCGTCTCATGCCCACAACTGATGTAAACAACTACCGGCACATCCAGACTACGACGAGATGCAGAGATTCCTTGGGAACTTCTTGGCTATTGTGAGAGCTCTCATCACACTCATATCAGCGTCGTCAGCGTACAAAGTGTCCTGAAAAAGAAATGAGAAAAACTAGACTCACGGACTTGTGAGTAGGATCCGGCAGCCTACATCATCGTTTATTCCCTAAATCTGTTTCCACTGCCAAAAGTCACATTTTCCTAATATTGATACGCTGACTTTTCCACCCCCTCCAGACGTAAAAACTTTTTTGCGATATTTCCTTTTTTCAAATTTCTGGTGTTTCAATTCAAGTTTTTTTTCGCAGTTGTTGAAAATGCGAATAATAATATGTGGATGGAAACCTGACTACTGTTTCAAATCAGCACTGAGTCCATTCCAAAACTTGACTCCCAAAACAGACCACCTCTTCAAGAAGGTCTCGGTCTAGTTGTCTTGTGGGATTGCTGTGTTCACACCTGGCCAAACGAACCGCACTGAGGGGGCAATTCAACTAAAGTTTGACTGAACCAAACCAAACAGAGCAGGTGTGAAAGCAGCCTTAGTGAAGCTGTAACACAGGTGAGCTATGTGGTATGTCACAACATTTCTAAATGTAGGAAGTCGTTAAGTGACGGAGAGTTTTTGTGGGACTGCTTGGTGAAAGTTACCGACACCGTATGTCCTGAAGCTGTGTGAACACTCAGTGATAATCTGGCTCTCTAAACTGGCACCAAGTCATCGAAACTTTGAGAGCCTCTGCTGAAGGAGGAAAACTTCACGTCATCTCTAACTTTCTCACTGATTTTAAATGTCATCGCAGGTTGTTTGCCAATTTGAAGAAAAGACTTTGCTGTGTTCAATGTGGAAACACTCGCGTGAACGCTTGTTACTTTCGTCTTTCAAATTAGACTGTGTGTTTGTTCAGAGGTGATCATCAGATGGTCGAACAGCTTCAGCAGCCTCCTCCTCCTCCCACACCTTTCTGAAATCAGATCCAACATCCAACAAATACAACGTTGTGAATGTGTTTCGGGAGAGACTGTGAAAATGTCCACTGTTATCCTCTTTTTTTAAACAATACCTCCCTTCCTCCTTCTATGATGAACAACTTTTTGTGCTTGACAACAGCGACCTTGGAGAGGACGATAAAACATGAGTCCAGGTGACTCCAACAGGAAGCATCCCCTCGGTGGATATATGTGTATGTTGGACAAAAAGAGATGAATTGTGGGAAGAGAAGCCTGTTCAGGACCTCTGCATCATCCATCACACACACACACACACAGCCCCAGGCAGTGTTTTCTTCCCGCAGAGAGGAAGCGCTGTGTTACATACGACAGGAAGTGAACGTACATCATGCAGTTGATGTCTGTGACATCTTCTTCCATCTGTAGCCTCTGGCTGACACTTTACAAACACATAACACAGCGTTCTGTTACAGCCTCGTCCTGAGGTGAATCAGAACAGCCTCTGGCTCCCTTCATCCCTCTCTTTCCTGTGTCCAGCAGTAAAAACACCCATTTCCTCCTCAGAGATCTTCGAAAGTCTGAATCATTTCCAGAGAGATGTTCTTGTTCTCTGTAGAAACGATGCTGCTGCAGGTCTTCACCAAACAGCTGTGTGTAAATCTTGTGTGACTCATGTGGACACAAACTACCTCAAGAGCTGAGATGTGTAGCTGCAGACACATTCAGTTTGTAGCGTTCATGACACGTCCCTACAAACTGCGTCCATCCACCAATACGAGACCAAGTGTAGCAACTATCACGTTTATAAATCATAAAACACAAAGACGTGATTCACTTTTTAAGTGATGAGACGCAGCCTTCACATTTAGTAAAGTAAAATGTATTTACACAGCGCTTTTCACAAACATAGGTCACAAAGTGCTTCACAACGGCGTTATACAACAAGAAAGACCAACCAAAAACCCATTGACTTCAAGACGAGGGAACAGGAAGTGCTAAAATGCTAACTCATTTCCAGGTTTTCGGACTTATACTCAGAGCACTCTGTAAATGCTTGAACATGTTAATGAACACTGTATCCTCACATACGATATCCTACAAGAATGCACATACAAGTTTGTATGATCCTACAAATTAGCGCCCCACGAGTACCTTAAAATGACTCAAAGTTAACACAGTTCAGAACACGCATCTCTACTCACCGTCTTCGACATGATGACGCTCTGTTGTCTCATTTGGCTACTTTGTTAAAACACATAAAAGCTTCAAAATTAACGAGTGAGGTCTTTACAGACGTATTTTATGTCGTAAAACGAAAGATAAAAGTCTCTTAAACTTGTTATAAGCACAGACCTCATTTCAGACATCTGACCAAAACACATTCCTAAAAAAATCAACTGACTTCAAGACGAGGGAACAGGAAGTGCTAAAATGCTAACTCATTTCCAGAGCTCATTCTTGAAGCACCCTATTAATGCTTCTGGCAGTGTCGGCCACTTACAGCATAGAGCCAACACACAACTATAAATCTGCCTTTACTTTACACTTTTACTCCTAAATATTCTCCTCAGGATGAACTGTAGGAACTTTGGTTGTGACTTCTGCTGTAGAAATAAAGTTTACCTCTGTAGTTGTAGTTTCTTGTAAACAGATCTCTTCAGTAAACACAGTGAGCGGTGTGTTTTCTTACAGCTGCTGTTAACAGCTCTGATTCGTGGAAATGAGGGTCGTTAGCCTCCGTCCGTCCTGCTGTCAGCTGTGACACCTCACAGGACAGAGGACAGAGGACAGAGCTCCTAGCTGTGCTGCTGCCGGAGGTGAAGAGGGGGAGGCTGGTTGTGTCTCTGCTGCCCAGCCTGATGGAGGTTAATGGGCCATAACACTGAGGTGAGGAGCCATTATGGGTCAGCCATTACCTGCTGTGACAGATGGCCAAGTGAGAGCCATTGTGGAGCCGCTCAACACTTTGAGCAGCGAGTCAACGATGCTGGACAAACACTGAGGAGTGATGGAGTCTGTTTGTCTCAGAGGACTCACGTGTCACTTGTCACCTGTCGTGTCCTAAAGGAGCAGTGTGTAAGACTTAGGGAGATTTAGTGAATTTGGCATCACTGCTTTGTTTATTTAACAGATATTTAGATAACATTAATTTTTCTAAAATGTCTTTGTGGAGCTCTAGCACATGTTGCACTGTCTGCGGCTCTACCAACCAGACTAAAGGGGATTTATACTTGTGTGGCAGACCCTACGCCATAACCTACACACACAGCCTACACTGTTGTGAGCATTTACACTTGTGCGGTGGTGTGTCTGTGTCACTCTGCAGTTACACCTCCAGAACACTAGTCAGCGCTGGAGGTTTCTGTGAAGTGCTGTAAAGTTTAGTTGATTCAAAACACACATTAAACACACATTAAACACACATTAAACACACATTAAACATGGCTTAATAGAGACAGTTTCAAACACAAATCAGCTTCACTATAACTCGCAGCATTCACAGACAAACACTTGTCTTTATCTGGACACATTTTCCCCACAAATACAACATGCTAACGTTATTAGCACAAGCCTATGGCATTTTACATTGTATAAATTAGCCTAGCAGCTAGCAGAGATTTGCTCTGCTCATATTTCAGCCAGGATAAATCACACACAGTGTGTGGAGGCTTTATTGTCTTCACTATTTATTGTTTCAGTATATAGTGCACTACTATACATATTTAGATTTTAGTTTTTATAGATGTTATATTTTATATTTTATTTTATTGTTTCTTACTTTTAGTATTACTAAATGTCTTTAACTGTTCTGCCCTACAAAGCCTAAGCACTGTAACTACATTTTTGGTCAAAATTGAGTTATAAGTAAAAATTAACTCCTTGATATCTGTTTTATCTTGTGATAAAGTTTCAGAGTTCAATTTTGCTTAGTTTTAGAGAAAAAACTGTATAAAATTTGCAGTAACTACAAAATCTGTCTCAAAACCAAGGCAGACCGCAGTAAGTGAAGTTAC